CCATTGGCCTTTCCAAGTCTGAACTGTCTTGAGGAATCGTCCCCTGGATGCTGAGTCCACGCATTTCAGTTGTGGGTCTTTGGAGTCTGGCAGCAAGGAAGGAGGGAGTGCGCTGTAGCCATGTGGGGATAGTTGTGCAAATGCCAACTGTTGAGTCGTCCACATTGGCTGGGATGGAGATAGCTGGCGGGGTAGTGTTGGGAAGTAAAGCTGGGAAGGTAGGCTGGGAGAGATTGAGGAGCCTTCACTGCCCCACTGAGGAAATTGTAGTTTAGGAGGAAGGAAGGAAGAAAGAGAAAGAGGGAGGGAGGAGGGAAGGAAAAGAAAGGAGGAGAGAGTTGTTGTTTTTCAGTCATACCCCTCTTTGTGGCCCTGTGTAGACTTTTCTTGGCAGAGATACTGGATTGGTTTGCCTTTTTCTCCTAGGGTTACAGTTAGGGTTAGAATCAGAGGGTTAGTGCCTGCTGTGTGCCAGGCACTGTGCCAAGAGCTTTGCAGATGTTATCTGATTTGATCCCCACGACAACCTTGGGGGATGACCATTTTACACGGCAGACAGGGATTCATTAACTTTCCCAGGGTCTCGCAGCTAGGAAGTATCTAAGGTTGGATTTGAACTCAGGTTTATCTGATTCTGAGTCCAGGGCTCAGACCACTGAGATGATGTGGATTCGCTGCAGATTTTTTGGGAGGTTAGTGGACTTTGCATAGCACACTGCCCATAGGAAGGTGACAGCCGGTCTGTGGACTTTCCTCATCTAACATTCCTGGACCGTCGGATTCAGAGCTGGCAGAGGTCTCAGCCACCATCTAGGTAAATCCTCTCATTTTACAGATGGGCTTTCCATCTATCAAGCCATGCAGGTGTAGACAGATACAACTTGCACCCTGTCCTCACCCTGACCTTTCTAGCCCGTTGGCCACGTGTGGATCTCCAGCTGGCAGTGTAGATGGGTCCACCCCAGGCCTCTCTCACTGCAGCAGCCTGGGCTCCTTCCCCCTGCGGGAGGCACCAGCCAGCGATGTTTATTGTCTGGGTTAAGCTTCATTAAGGCCGAGGCCTATTTTGTGTTGTTGATATAAAGTTTTATTTATTAAATAGCTATTTAGTATAATTTACCACGTCACTGAAGACAGAAATTCCCCTTAGGGCCATAAAACTCAGTTTTGCCCCATGTTGTATCCTAAATGGAAGGACGTTCCTAGTGTCCGAGGCCTTCTCGGGCTCCCGAGAAATGCCCTCTCAGGCCTCCTTCTTGTGGAAGCCGGAATGGAGCCCCTCCTCCAGAGGGGACCGGGAGTCCAAGCCTTCTTCCTTCTAAAGTTTACTGATGAGCTTTGTTTTAACAGCCAGAAACACTCACGGATCACTCCCTCTTCTTCCTGAGAGGTCTCTCATAACCAAGTAAAACTAAGAATGATACAGTGACCTCAGAGGAAAGGATCTGCCATGTTTCATGTCTGCAGCAGCACATCCCTCCACCCTCATTGAAAAAAAAATGAGCAGAAATCCATTTTTTCTCCCTCCCACCCTCCATCCCATTGGCGGGAAAAAGACAGGTTTCTTGTTTACAAATGTGTATAGTCAAGCCAAGCACCTTCCCTCGCGGGCTGTGCAGCGTGCCCCTCACTCAGCTCCTCCCTGCTGGGGCTCCCCCAGCTCCTGGCATCGTGAACGGTCCTTGCAGTGAGCGGTGTCCTGCAGTTTTCTACGTGGCTTGCTCTTGCCATGTTATTATCATTGTACATCATTCTCCTGGTTCTGCTCACTTCCCCCTGCATCCCTCAGTTCATAGAAATCTCCGTGTTTCTGAAATCATCTCCGCCCTCATTTATTCCAGCAGAGGAGTTTTCCGTCCCATTCAGGTACCGTAACGCATCAGCCATGCCCACGTGAGGACTGTCTCTTTAGTTTCCAGTTTTTTCGCCACCACCGGAAGTGCTACTATCAATATTTTTGGTACATAAAGGCACTTTTCCCAGGCAGCTGGTAGCCCAGTGGACAGAGAACTGGGCCTAGCATCAGGAAGGCTTGAGTTCAAATCCAGCCTCAGACACTTAATAACTGGATGACTTTAGGCAAGTCACTTAACCTCTGTTTGCCTCAACTGTAACATCACGATCAGAACAGCACCCACCTCCTCGGGTTATTGCGAGAGTCAAATAAAGTGATAATTGTGAAGTGCTTAACACAGTGCCCGGCACAGAGTGGGTGCTACATAAAAGCTGCTAACCTTCCCCTTCCCCTTCCCCTTCCCCTCTTTTTCTGATTCCTTTCCAGTGTAGACCTGGCATTGGTCTGGGGGGAGAAGGTGTGTCAAAGGGAACTCCCTGTTTGGTCATTTTTGGGCATCCTGCCAGATTTCTTTCCAGGATGGTTGTGTCCGTCCGCGGGTCCACCAGCGGTGCGTCACTGTGCCGCTTTCTCCACTGCCTCTCCAGCATGGATGACTTTCCTTCTTTGTTCTCTTTGCCCATCTGATGCATCTGAAGTAGAATCTCATAATTGCTCTAATTTGCATTTCTCTATTAGCAGTGAGTTGGAACATTTTTTCATCTGACTGGAGATAGCCTGGGTTCCTTCCCTTGGGAGCTGCATACACTCAGACCGTTTACGCCTTGGTGAATGGCTTGCTTACTTATAAATTTAAATCAGTTCCTCCATACAAATATTTCCCCCAGTTAATTGTTTTCCTTTCTAATCTTTGCTTTCTTAGATATGTTTATGCAGAAGATCTTTTAATTTGATGTCATCCAAGTTTTCTCTTCTGACCTTTCTTCCTCATTTGGCCTCCAGCGTTCCTCCCATCTGGAGATCTGTCTGCTGGGTAGTTTTTCCCAGGTTTCTTTCATTGTTTATGACGTGAGCTTTCTGTCCAGGTCACAGACCCATTTGGAACTCGTCTTCGTGGTCTTGGTCTAAGTGAAAACTTGCTTTCTACCGTCCCTTGTGATTGGGCCGGAACCGTCTTCTGGGCACCATGGGCGGCTCTTTGCAAGTGCAGTGCCCTTGTTAGCGCTCGGCGTTATTTAATGATGTTATCTCACTCGTACTGACGGTCAGTCTTTCTCTGTCCATCTGCTCGTCCTTCCCTGAAGTCCACAACCACCCCCAGGCTCCCTCATCTTTAAAACAAACCTCCTGCACAGACCGACTGTCCTCGGGCGGGGGTCCCGGGGTTCTGGGTCTCCGTTCTCTTTGATGGCTCGGTGTTAAAAGCCGTCTGCACTCGCTGCCTTTTCCTCCCTTCCCAAGGCTTTGCGGTCCTCCTCCTTCACCGAAGCTGGGACCTCACTGAGGAGTCCCAAGGGCCCAGTCTGGTGACTCTTCCATCCTTTGGGACCTCTCTAGCCTTTGGCACTGTTGGTCATCCTGGCCCTGGACACGCGCTGCTCTCAGACTTTGTGGGACCCTCCTCTCCCTTCCTTCTCAGCTTATCTCGTTGGCTCACCATCCATATCCCACCCTTCTCTCTGGGCGGGCCCCAGGGCCCTGTTTTGGGACCTTTCCCTTTCTCCCTCAGTGACCTCAGGGACGGCCTCGAGCTTCTGTGAGCTCATTGGCCATCTCTGAGCAGGACTTTGAGATCTACGAAGCCAGCCCTGGCCTGTCTCCTGAGCTCCATTTCCCCCTTTCCACCTGCCTTTGGGACATTCTGCCCTGGCATTTTGAACCAGGTGCCCTCCTGGCATCTCAACTTCAACGTGCCCCCAACCAAGCCCTTTCTCTTCTGAATCTCCCAGTTCTGCCAAGGTGCCACCTTCCTCCCTGGCACCCCGGCTCCTCCCTCGGTGTCCACCTGGCTGCGTCACTCACACCCGCTCCACGTGTCCAGGCTGCTGCCGGATCGGGGGCCTGCTTCCGGCCTCCCCACTGGTCCCACCCCACCCCATCCATCTTCCACCCCTCTCCCCAAGTCACTTGATAAAGCTCAGGTCTGACCCATCAGGCCTTTCCTGATCTCCCTATCTGCTTCTGGGGGTCCCTTGAAAAACCACCTGGTTGTCTGTGTGTATTTTGTATGTAAGTGTTGTCTCCCCTGATAAAAGGTCCACTTCCCAATAAGTGCTTAGCACAGGGCCCTGCATACGGTAAGTACCTAATAAGCACTTGCTGGATGAGCAGAGCAGAGCCAGGACCCGGGTTCGGGGCTTCTCCTTGATTCCCGGTGCAGAGTGGGGGTGCCGTCCACATGGAGGCACAGATCCCAGCAGGCAGCAGGGAACATGCTGGGTCTGAGCTCAGGCAGCGTAGGTTCAAACCCTGGCTTGGCCCCTTAGCACCTGTGACCATCTCTCTGGGCCTCAGTTTCCCCCTCTGTAAAAGAAGGGGATTGGACACAATGGCCCCGAGGTCCCTTCTAGGCCCAGACCTAGGGTCCTTGGGTAGTGGAGGCATTAAAGCCGTAGCCCTCCCCACTCCTGCCCTTCTGAGGAGGCAGTGCACATGTTCTTATCACCACCCTTGGTTTACCAGTGAAGAAACTGAGGCTCAGGGGGTGCCAGTGACTTGCTCAGCATCATGTAGCTGGGTCTGCCCCGAGCCTGGACCCAGAAGCTGGATTTCTTGGCCTGCCTTCCGCTGGCCGCTTCATCCCAATGGGGAATCCAGGCCGTTCCCTGACCAGCCCACAAGACTTAGTGTTCACCTTTCTCCCAGCTCAGTCTGCCAATAGCAATTTCTCCCCCTCCCTGTGCCTTGTGAGCGTTTCTTGGTGAGCTGAGTTGAATCACCCTGGTTTGATCCCAGTAACAGTGCTGTGAGGGAGAAGGTTGTACCCATTTTGCTGATGAGGAGACTGAGGTTGCGGGTCTTCTGATCACCAGCCCAGAGGTAGGGAGCTGCCTCTGCTGCACCCCCACATCCCCTGGCTCTGCCTGCATGTGTGGAGCCGGGTCCCCCCGGGGAGAGCCCAGCTCCCCGAGCCCCCTCGTGTGAGGGGTGGCAGTGGGGCGGCGCAGTCACCAATCTCTTGTGTCTTTCTTGGCGTGTTTTTCAGTCTGAACCCGAGGGTTTTTCTCACTTCCATTTGTACGTCTGTGCGGCTTTCCTCGTGAGATGGAGAAAAAAGATTTTAGAAGAAAAAGATTTCCAAGTAAGTAAAAGCTTTCTCTCAATGAGCCCAAGCTCGGTTTTCCAGGGGGAGAGGAGAAGGAAGCTGATTAGACTTCACTTCTGTGGGCTGTTTGTGAAAGAGTCCTAGAAGGAGCCCCCACTGCTCTTCCGGGGGTCCCTTAGAGCGCTGCCTGCTGGAGAGACATGACTCAGGCCCAGGCTGGCAGGGCTGAACCCCTGGGGAGGCAGTGCCCCTTCAGGAGGGGAAGGGAGTGGAGGTGGGGGCCAGCGGCACACACAAGCAGGACAGTGCTGGGGGGAGTGGGGTGGGGGCCAGGGGCACAGCCAAGCAGGACATGGCTTGTGGTGGGCGTGGTTCCTCTCCCTCAGCTCACCAACCCCACCCCATCAGCTTCCAAGGCTGTAGCTCTGCGGCTAGAGTATTCCTGCTGCCTCTTGCGTCTGGGAGCTCCCCCTCCTCCGGCCGCTCACCCCATTGTCCTTTGAAGAGCCGTCTTCTGGAAGGTGCCAGGCTTCCATTTGTGTTGCTTGGTCCCAGATGGCTAAATGAGGAGATGCATGGAGAGGCTGTGGGAAGGTAGTGAGCTCCCTGTCACTGGAGGGCCTCAGGCTGGGTGACCTTTTACTGGGGAAGATGGAAGGGAAATGACTCTAGTCTGGGCTCACGTGGGTGCCCTCCGAGGCTTCTTTTCACCCTTCCCACTCTGATGCCACAGTCTGTCCTGCCCAGCCCAAACCAGCCCAGCCCAGCCTGCTGCCCCCTGCTCCTTCTGGCTCTGGGGCCGTGTTCTTTACAACAACCGCCAGGATGATCCATGCTGACATTTGCACAGGCTTTAAGGTTGGCCAAACACTTTTCGTCCACTGACCTAGGGGACCCTCCTCCCGTCCTGGGAGCAGATGCTGTGATTCCCATTTTAGAAGTAAAGACACGCTGGCTCATCCAGCTTATATGTGTCTGAGGTGGGATTTGAACTCGGGCCCTCCCCACTCAGAGCCCAGCACTCAGTCCCCTGCACTGGGGAGTGGCCTCGTGTCACCGCTACCGAGGGAAGGATAGACTGGGGACGCCCCGAGTTAGTTTGATTTACTTGATATAGGAAACAGTAACTGGTGACCCAGAGCCAGTCATCTTTACAGCACAGTTTATATCCCTGCCGAACACTCCAGTGGCAGGGAGATGGGGGGCGGAAAGGAGAAGGCGCCGCTTGGTGAGGGGGGGAGGGTGGCACGTCAGCCGTGCAGCCGCGCCGTCCTCTGTCGACCACCCTCCTGCCTGGATGTCCGGTCCCAGGATGGCGGCCAGCTGTGCCGGCGTGGTGAGGGATGCCATCCTCTTTGGTTTACCCAGCCTGTGCCCCGGGAGGCCAGGAGGCTTAGACCCATTTTACAGAGAAGCGGAAGGGGCCTAGGGAGGGAACTGAGTCAGGCAGAGCCCCGGGTGGGCCCTAGCCAGGACGGACAGAGCTTGCCTGGGAAGCTTCCCCTCTTTGCTTCCCACCCCTCCATCTTCCCACTGTGTTTGGGAGCGGGGAGCAGCGGGCGGTAACAGCCTTGCCTCGCCCTGCCCTGCTTCATTTTGGGGGGACAGAGTAGATTACACAGGTTGAGGCCGCATGGGTGGATGGTAGTCCGGCCTGGGCACAGGGCTGTGGAAAGGTCGCCTCCCGTGATCCAGCCGCAGTGCCCCCTTTAAGACCGCCCTGGAGCAAATTAGGTTCTTTGGTGAGTGTTTGAGCTGGCGTCCTTTTGTGAGCCGGGGTCAGGGACAGAACTCTTTTTTTTTAAGATTAGTTAGTTTTTAGTTTTCAACAATCACTTCCATAAGATTTTGAATTCTCAATTTTCTCCCCCTTCCTCTCCTCCCCCCGCCCCAAGACGGCGTGCAATCTGATACAGGCTCGACATATACATTCATATTGAACCTATTTTCACATTAGCCATGTTGTAAAGAAGGATTAGAACCAATGGGAGAAACCGCGAGAAAGAAGAAAGAAAACAAAGACGCGAGAGCGGACAGTCCGCGCAGTTCTTTCTCTGCATGCGGACGGCATTTTCCATCGTGAGCCTTTGCAGCGACAGACCTGCTTCTCAGTTGGGTCCAGTCGCACAGTCAGCTGCAGAAATGCTAGGTAGGAGAAAGATGGGATGAGAAACTCGAGTGGGGGGAGGACGCCCGGAGGATGTCCTGGCTGGAGGGGACGTAATTCTGAGGAAATTAAAGGATCAGGGCTTGGCAGTCTGTAAGAGGGATGGGCCCCGAAAAGCCCATGGAGAAACGATGCGCGGCTGCTCACTCATGCGCCCCCTTTCCCGTCTTTGCGCAGTGCTCGAACTGCAATCGACTCCCTGCGTGGAACAGTCAGGCAGCAGAGCATTCGCGAGATGTTCACTGTGGGCCAGGTTCAGGCTCGGTTTTGGGGCCGGAATGAAAGGCCAGGCCACAGCCCCGTGCCTCGGGGCGCTCCCAGTCTGACAAGGAGACCCCAGCGGCCGTCTCTCTCCATGTGCAACATTTCCTGTGGAGGTGGGGAGCGACTCCGCCCCTGGGCCTTTCTTTCATCAGAGAGGAGCTCAGAGGATTTGAGAGTCAGTGACTTTGTTTTACGGATTGGGTGAGGAGGCCTGGGAGGGAAGCAGCTTGCCTGAGCTGAATTTGAACCTGGACCTTGTTTCTGCTCCCAGTAGCTCAGGCATTCAGCACGCATCTCCTCCTCCCCTCCCCCATTGACCCTCCCCTTGGCTTGGCAGAAGACTTGGGCTCTGGTCTGGGCTCCCTCGTTCACTAACTGGGATGATGGGTAGACGAGAGGCGTCAGTCAGCCTCAGAACCCCACTCCAGAACGGCGATGGCGGGGCTTGCACTGTGGCCCTCCCAGGATTGGGGTGAGGATCCAAGGAGCTTGCAGGGGTCTCTCTGCCACGTGTCTGTGTCTGTGGTTGGCAGGGCCTATGCTGCTGATTGTAGGTCTGGCTCCTCCCTCCAAAGGGGCTGACAAGTGTAGAAGGGAAGGGCACCAAGGAGCCTCTGAGAGGCACCAGAGGTCCTTACCTGTGGGGGAGGGAGGAGGAGGAGGATGGTCACATGGGCAGCACCATGAGCCCAGAGGTCCCACAGCAACAAGGCGGGAACAGTGAGTTCCCAGAACTCTTAAGGACAGTCCAGAAATGGGCATGGAAGAACGTAGGAATGGGGAGGAGGAAGGGACGGGCATTCCGACCACCCTCCTCACCTTTGGCACAACCCTGGGAAAGCCTCCTTGTCCTGAGCCTCTGTGGCCCTCTCTGCCCCAGCTAGCTCTTGCGGTCCTTGGGATCCTGGAGCGGCCAGACTTGGTGCCTCCCCGTGATGGGGAGTCGCCAGGAACCCAGCTGCTCAGGGGAGGCTCGAAGTGAATGTTTCTCTGCCTGGTGCTCACAATTTGTGACCAGTTTGACCAGTGTAACTACTAACGCTCACCCCTATTTACCAGCGTGGCGTGTTTTATCACATTTGTTTAAAAACCACCACCCAGCCGTCTCGTTGTAATTAGATACGACTGGTGTGGCCGATTAAGGCATTTGGCCAGCCCCAGCAACCCCCGTGTCTGAAGGAAGGCAGCTGGGCCCAGGGAAGAGTCCTCAGGAGAAGTGGGAAACAAGGCAAGGGAAAGAGACGAATCAGAAGAAATTGGGTGTCAGTGAGCAAATGGAGAAGGGGAGAGATGGGGAAATTAGGCTATTGATTTTTTTCCCCAAAGCTACAGAATAAAATTAATGCTTTGATACTGTAGAGGCTAGACAGAAAGCACGTTGTGAATGCTCTAAGTGGGCTGTGGACAGTCGACCTGAATAGTGAGGGAAAGAAAAGAGAAAACAGAAGTTATATAAAGAGAACTTGGCAGCACACGGGGCTGGAGAGCTCAGTGTGGGGAACCCGGACAATGGTAGGTGAATGGCCCCTGCTGTGGCAGCAGGGCAGAGTCCGGAGCTCAAGTCCTGGCTCCTTTGATTGAATTCAGCGCTTATTAAGCGCCTTGGATGCAGGAGGTGCCAGGGACACAGAAATGAAAGCCATGAAGGCCCGGGCCTGAGCGCTTTGGTGTGTGTGATCCAGGCTAAGGAGTTAGGGGAGCAGGAGAGAGAAGCAGGCAAACACTCGAGGAGGTTGGAAGTCTGGGTCTCTAGGAGGATTGTGGAGCAGGTAACGGGACGATGCCTAGGTTAGGGAATGTTCTGGTCACCCTCCAAATTGTTCAGTCCTGAACGTCAGTCCTGTCTGACTCTTGGTGACCCCATTTGGGGTTTTCTTGGCAGAGATACTGGAGTGGTTTGCCATTTCCTTCTCCAGGCCATTTCAGAGATGAGAAACTTGAGGCAAACAGGGTGAAGTGACTTGCCCAGGGTCACACAGCTGGCAAGTGCCTGAGGCCAGATTTGAACTCAGGATGATGTTTTTAGAGGATGTTTTAGAGGGAGCATTGGGATTGTATCTGCTCCGGTGCGTGCCCTGGGGCATAGACCCAGATTTAGGGACTCATCATTCAGTCCACATGGTCAGTGTAGGTCAGTAATTTGTCACTCTGCAGGTTTAGGCAAAGAGCCCATAGCTCGAAGAGGGGGTTGCGGAGGGCTTTGAATGGCCAGCGAAGGCCGGGGGCCTCCACTCGGCAGGCAGCTCGCTGCAGACCCTGAGGAGGGCTGGGTGGTTTGAAGAATTTGGCTCCCTTTTGTCTTTCCAAACTCCAGAGTTGAGCAGACCGGCTGGACTCCATCGGTGCCCAAGGGGACACCCTTCGCACTCTGCTGAGATTTAAGACGCCTACTGGGTGGAAATAAGCCCAGTAAATTACTGTGCAGTGGACTGTATAATAATGCCCGCCAGCTTTGGAGAAGAGCCCAGGGCGAGGGGAGGGGGGGCTTCTGCAGCTGCCACGGCCCCTGGAGCTCCTCCATGGGTGACTGAGCACAATCGATTCCCTGTATCCCAAGGTTAGGCCTCAAATCCAGGGCTCCCTGACTCTGAGTTGGGGGCTTAGT